CCCCCCCCCCACCTTGGTATAGTGTCCTGAGGAGGCTGGTCCCAGGGTTTTCAAGGCTTCGGCCTCTCGGCAGAAGGTGGCCAGATGCCCTCTGTGCCGGTGATGGGTGCCCAGCCATTTGTTCCTTTCAGGGACCCGCTGAATCTGAAATGCCCTCATCCATCTTGTCTCTTTCTCTCCCACCCTGCAGGTGGATGGGAGGGTGGCGAGCTGGCTCGGGGCTGTCTCTGGTGGATGCTGCAGTGCATTAGCCCTTCCAATGAGCTCAGCATCTCCTCTCCGTGTGTCCCTGCCCCTCGCCCCCTAATAACTCAGAGATAAAGAGGCAGGAGGGGCCAGACTTCCCAGGGGAAGAGCTGAGGCCCAGAGTGGTGATGTCATTCGCCCCAGCAACCGAGTACCCCTCAGGGCCTGAGGCTGCAGGGAGGGTTCCCGGGTGGTCTCACCTCAGACACCTGGATGTGTTGATAGGGCTTCATCCGGCAGAGTTCATTCAGGTCGGGGTTGTGGTTCTTCCCATCAGGGTAGAGGAAGCTGGCAGGAGGGAGGAGAGGCGGGCACAGGCAGGCTGAGGGGCCATCCTGACAGACAAGACCCCCTCCTCGCTGGGCTGTCCCACAACTCCCTGGATGAGCTTCCTCCTGCGCTCTTTGAGTCTGGGATACATTTCCCCTTCTCTCAGATCGGGGCTCTCCAGGACAGGGCTGTGTCCCCTGAGATCCCCAGGACAGGGACCCAGTCTCTTCAGACTACCAGAGATCAACCCAAGTGACTCTGGCTACAGCAACTGGGAGCAGAGTCAAGCAGACAGGAAACAGGTCAAACTCTGGGTCACTGCCCTCCGATCCGCCCCCCTTCACAAATTCTTCCAGTCTGAGCACAGAGGTCTCTTCCGGTCACAGAGCCAGGGGGTGACCAAACCCTCAAGTCTAGACCACCAAGACCCCAAGGACCCCCTGAGGCCACGCCCCACTTCTCAGCTGACAGATGCTGACCCAGGGCTCCTTGAGGGCAGGCACTAGCCCTGGGGCACACAGTGAGGTCCAGGAGCCTCAGAAGCAGACCTGAGGGCAAGTGCTGAGGGCTGGGCTCCAAGGGGGCTGATCCGAGGTTCTAGAGCAGCGGTTCTCCACCTTCCTCGTGCCTCGACCCTTTCATACAGTTCCTCGTGTGGTGGTGACCCCCCAACCAGAAAATGATGTGGGCATATCTGCACGTAGGTGGACCCACCTGGTATCTGATAGAGGAGCGGTGTCTCGGTTCCTAAGACCATTGGAAATATGTGTTTTCCGATGGTCTTAGGCAACTCCTGTGAAAGGGTCGTCCAACCCCCAAAGGGGTCGTGACCCACAGGTTGAGAACCGCTGTTGTAGGCCCTCAGGGTTTCCCATCTGGATCAGCACAGGGTCCTCAGGCCAGCAGACAACCTGGCCTCCAAAATGGCTCTCTCACAAACACACCTGGTGACCCCGGGCCTCAATTTCCCCTTCTGTAAAATGGGCAGCGGCATATCCTTAGGACCACAGATGGAGGAGCCCTGCTGGTGTCGTGGGCTACGCTTTGGGCTTATCACACGGTCAGCAGTTCGAAACCACCAGCTACTCCCATAAAGAGTCATTGTCTCCAAAACCCACAGGGGCAGTTCTACCCTGTCCTATAGGGTCGCTGTGTGTAGCAAATTAAATTTATGTGACTGGGGGCGGGACTCAGGAATCGAGGGAGAGAATCCGACCTTAGCGCCGTTATAGGACAGCACAGTAGAACTGTAGAACTGACCCTTTGGGTTTCTGAGGCTGCAAATCTTTATGGGAGCAGACTGCCTCATCTTTTTCCCACAGAGCAGCTGGTGGGCTTGAACCACTGACCTTGAGATGCGCAGCTCAATTGCATAATGCACGCTGCGACCAGGGCTCCTCTAGACTCTAGAGCAGAATATGAAAGTCAAGGCCTCAATGCTCCTGAGCCGAATATCGAGGAATGAAGCCGTGGAGTTGGACCCCAGGCCCCCCACATACACCCCAGAGCTGGGCCTGCCCCACCCCATAGGGCGGCTTTGTGAGAACCGCAGGGCGCCAGTGCCTCGAGGCGCTTCGATGCCACCTTCTGGAAGACCGCGGTATTACAAACCACAGATTGTGCGCCCTCAGAAGACAGGATGATGGGGGGCCGTGTCCACGCATGCAAGCTGTTGCCAGTGCCCACACCTGCAGGACGGGGACTCACTAGCCTTTTCTTTGTCCATCCAGGAGCACCTGGAGCAGCGGTTTGACGGACGGGATGGTCTGTAGGATGCTGCCGTCTGAGCTCACGTACCCGATGGCCCACCGCCCCAAGCGAGTGCAACTGGGGCGGAAAATGTAGCTGGAGGGAGAAGGGGGTGGGGGGCAGGGAGTGGTCACCACTGTCCCTTTAGGGTCCTCCTAGCCTCCCCACTCCTGGGTACCCTGATATCTAAGCCCTCGGTCCTTTACAGATTCTCACTCTCTCTCTCTCTCTCCCCCCAACCATTGAGTTGGCTTTGACTCACAGCGACCCTATAGGGCAGGAGACTGTAACTCTTTATTTTAAAAAAAAATTTTTTTTTAAAATCATTTTACTGGGGGAAGACTGTAACTCTTTCCAGGAGTAGAAAGCCCCACCTTTGTCCTGAGGAGCAGCTGATGGTTTTGAACTGCTGACTTTGTAGTTAGCAGAGCAACACATAACTGCTGGGCCACCAGGGCTCCTGTCCCAGAGCCAGTTCTCCAGGATACTGCACTAAACCTCCTTCCCTCACCACGGGCGGCTGCGTTTCATTTTCTACCAACACCAACCGCCTAGCATGCACCCCTTCTCCTTCTTGGGGCCTTGGACCCGGCTGATACTGTGCAGCCAGTCAGCACCTTTCAGAACCCTTGGCCACAGTGAAAGGGATCCCCGGAGACCCAGCAAATTAAGCATTGGGCTGTTAACCATAAGGGCAGCAGTTCAAAGCCACCAGTCTCCAAGGGCAAAAAGATGAGTGCCTATCCCCTTAACCTCTTGGTGTTTGAGACAGCTCAGTCTCTCAATTCTTAACCCTCTGGGGACCCAATTGCTTACAACTCTAGGTTTGAAACCACGCAGGTGTCTGGCTTCCTAATCTCCCACCCTAACAGGTAGGTGTCACCTGTGCCTTGGGCACCTTATGGTAACCACAACGTCAGCAGTTTGAACCCTGGAAACAGAACGAGGAGGCTTTCTGTTCCGGTAGAGAGTGACAGTTTCAGAAACCCACAGGGGACAGTTCTACCGTTTGTAAGGTTGCGATGAGTCATGATCTGCTCCATGGCAGGGAGTTTTGTTCTGTTTTGCCACTTCGGTCACACCTGCCTGTGTTATCAGAAACAAGTTTTGACCTGGGGCAAGGTCAACTTTAGTCGCTGGCCTGTGGGAGGTCCAAGGAGAGCGGGCCCGCACTTGGCCTTTTACCTTGAGATCACTGCCTTCCTGGAGTCCCAGGGACCTACACCTTGGTCCTTCATGTCTGGCTCCCTGCAGAAAGTCTGGGCTCCCACAACCCATTGGCCCAGGTCCGGGACACCTGAGACCCTGGCAGTCCCACCCCCTCCCCTGGCCTGCCCCTTCTACCTGCCTGGCTTGTCCCTGTGGGCCTGCAGACGAGCTTGGACCTCTTCGTAGGTGAGGAAGGCCATGTAGCCGGGGTGGTTGACGGCCAGGAGCTCCCAGTTCCTCAGGAGTGTGGGCCAAGGCTGGGGTGGGGCAGGTGTGTTCAGGGAGGGTCTGGTTGGAGCCCGCACCTCCAGAGCCTCCAGGGTCCAGCCTGCTCAACCCAATGGGGCCTTCCATCTCTCTTTACATGGAAGGTTCGGGATTCTTTTTGCCCAGGACCCAGCCACCCAGGGATGCTCCTTCCTCTGGAGTGCACGCCCCTAGTTTCATCCACCCTCAGACCTAGGAGGGAGACCTAGCCCCCTCCTCTCTCTGACCCAGAAGTGTGGACACCCTGCTTCTCCTTCAGACCCTGGAGTCTGGTCCCTCAGGCCCAGTCCCCAGGCCCCCAGCTGGGACCTTCTCTGACCTGGAAGAGCCTGGTGAAGATGTCAAACTCGAAGACGGACACATGGCCGCTGCAGGTGAGGTCGATAGTGGAACGCAAGGCCAGTGCCGTGGGGCCTGACTCCAGGGGGTGGCAGGTGCGCAAGAGAGACTCAAACTCAGCCCAGGGCAGCACGCACCTGGAGGGGGGCAGGGCGGGGGGGAGAGCTGAGGCCTCTGGGGGTCTAGCACAGGAGGTTCTCTGGGGATGAGGGGGCTGCAGCCTGGACTGTCCAGTCTGAGGGAGGAGGGGCTGGGAACCTGGACTCCTGGATCTGAGGGAGGAGGTGGTTGGGGGATTAGACTCCTGGATCTTGGGGAGGAGGAGGCTGGGGGCCTGAACCCCTGGGGCTGGGTCTGAGGGAGGAAGAGGGGGCGGGGGGAGGCTGGACAGCAGATCTTGGAGCTGATGGCTCCCCAGTGGCAGGTCACTCACCGGGCCCCGCAGCAGCCTCTCCAGAAGGTGTGGGCCATGGGCTTGGCCAGCTGGTACACATGTCCGCAGTACTGTCCCTCTGGGAAGAGGGCACCGAGCTCCGAGTACATGTGGCTGAAGATGAGAGCCAGCTTGGCTAGCTGCCGCCTGTGGGGGGAGGGGTTCTGAGGACCTGGGCTCCCTGTAAGGCACCCCCACAGAGACAAGCCGCCCCACAGACTTCCCTGAGGAGCAGCTCAGAGGAAAAGCCTGGTCAGGTCCTGCCGGATGATGGCAGCCTTCAGCATGGATTGCAACTCCATGTAAAACCAAACCAAGTTCACTGCCACTCGCTTGTGACTCAGCGCCTCAGATAAGATACAGAGGACCCACATCCTCACAACTGGACCACCAGCAGGTCACATCATGATCCACGGAGAAAAGGTTGAAGTTGTCTAGGATCTCGCCTTGCTCCGATCCACAATCAATGCTCCTGGAAGCAGCAGGCAAGAGATCCAAAGACTCATTGCCCTGCGTACACCTGCTGCGCCCGATTGCTTCAGAGTGTTGAAAAGCAAGGATGTTCCTTTGAGGTCTAAGGTGCACCTGACTCAAGCCAGGGTATTTTCAATCACCTCTCATGCACCTGAAAGTTGGACACCGAATAAGGAAGCCTGGAGACAAATCGTTGCCTATGAATCATGTGGCCGGTGGAGAATATTGAAAGTACCACGGATGGCCAGAAACAAGCACCAAATCTGCGTTGGAAGACGTACGGCCAGAACGCTCCCTAGAAGTGAGGATGGTGAGACTTTGTCTCCCGTGATTTGGACACATGAGGAGGAGGGACCCGTCTCTGGAAAGGACATCTAGGGGCAGCGAAGAAAGAGTAAGTGGATGCGGCACGAATTGTGTGGCTGGTGCCGAGACAGGGATTCTGGGATTCCTGTGTGGGGTGAGTGCTCTGAGGGCCCAGAGAGGGCTGGGCAGGGCGGGTGTGTGTGTGTGTGTGTGTGTGTGTGTACTCTAGGTTCTGGGCCGGGCGGGGTGTGTGTGTGTGTGTGTGTGTGTGTGTGTGTGTGTGTGTGTGCGCGCGCGCGTGTGCACTCTGGGTTCCCAAGAGATGCCAGCTGGCCTGAGGTCTGGTCCTGGGTCTGAGGGAGGAAGGGGCTGGGAGCTCTAGACCCCTGATGTGGGAAGGGCTGGGGGTCTGTACTCTGGTCTGAGGGAAGAGGGGACTGGGGTCTGGACTCCAGTCTGAAGGAGGAGGGCTGGGGTGTCTAGACCCCTGACATAGTAGGGTCTGGGGGTCTGGATTGCAGTCTGAAGGAGGAAGGGGTAGGGGGTCTAGACCCCTGATGTAAGAGGGGCTGGGAATCAGGACTCTGGTCTGAGGAAGGAGGGCACTGAGGGGAGGGAGGAGAGGGTTGTAGGGGGGTGGGACGGGGACCCAGGCCTCCTTTATCCCCTTGGTGCTGGCCGTGGGGGCTGGGGGACGTCGCTCACCTGAGTCTGGTGCCCTCCCTGAAGAGTTCTTCGCTGGCTCGCGATTGGCCGCGGGGAGGCAGCAGCGTAGCCACCTGCCTGCCCTTGGCCTCCAGGTTGGCGAGGTAGGTGACCAGGAAGTCCCAGGCGCCGCCGGCACCGTCGTGGCTGCCCTCGGCCCTCCAGGCCTGAGCCACCTTCCGCAGCAGCTGCGCCGTGCGCGGCAGCAGGTCCCGCAGACAGGGGGGGTTCGAGGAGAGCCGGGGGTTCCCGCACTGCTCCTCCAGGCGCTCCAGCAGCTTCACCACCCTGCTCAGGGCGCGGGGCGCCCGCGATCGCCGCCCCCCAGGGCCCGCCGTGGCTGCGGCCATGAGTCCGTGGGTGGCTGGGGAGCGGCGAAGGGTGCGGCCCTGGGCGGGACGGGACGGGGCGGGCCCTAGAGAACCGAACCGGAGAGGGGACCCTGCCCCTGGGTCCCCTGCAGGGGCCGCTTGGGTCAGAGTTTTCCGGGGAGAGCAGAATCGGCCGCCCCTGAAAACTCAAGAAACTCAGAGCAAGCCTATAGGACAGGGTGAGGATTTATGAGACTATAACGCTGTCCAGGAGAAAGCCTCGTCTTTCTTCTGCGGAGCAGCTGGTGGTTTCGAACCGACGACCTTGCAGTTAGCAGCCCCAACTCATAAACCACTAGGCCCAGGTCTCCTGGGTGCTCCTGAGGGCCTGGGAAATGCAGGCAGGGTGCCTTACAACAGTGAGGAGCAAAGAGGGCTGACGCTCTGAGCCGGGCTGGGAACACCTGGGAATGAGGTGGGGAGAGGAGAGTTCCAGACCTTTCTGCGAGGAGGGACAGGCACACCGAGCTCCAGCTCCGGACAGCTGCTGAGATGAAAGGTCGGAGCTCAGGGCTGGAGACAGAAAGGGCGGGGAGGCCAGGCGTCCCTTGGTCCCCAGAAGGAAGACGTGGCACGTGACTGCCCCGGGTCCATTCTGAGCAGGGAGGCTGAAGGGGCAGGGATTTGGCGCTGGATTCCAGGGTCCCTTGCGGGAGTGGGGGGCGGGGGCCGGAGGATGGGTGGGAGGAGTTGTACAAGATCCGCCTGGAGTTGAAACACCCACATTTACAAAAGGGGCCAGCTTCGGGGTTCAGAGGGGGCAGGGCCGAACCTGGCGTCTAGGGCTCAAGGTACGAGTCTTGGTGACTGTGACATAGTGGGTTACCTGTTGCAAGGTGAGCAGTTCGAACCCACCAGCCACTCCTTGGGAGAAAGATGAGGCTTTCTACTCCCATAAGGAGTGCATTGTTGGAAACGCTCCGGGGCAGGTCCACCCTGCCCTATATCCTTTTTTTTTTTTTTTACGTCCCCCCCCCTATATTCTTACAGCGGTGGTTCTGAACCTTCCTAATGCTGCGACCCTTTCATACAGTTCCTCATGTGGTGGTGACCCCAACCATCACATTATTTTCGTTGCTACTTCACTGTCATTTTGCTACTGTGATGAATCGTCATGTAAATATCTGATATGCAGGATCTATTTCCATTGTTACAAATTGAGCATAATTAAAGCAGACTGATTCATCAAAAATGTTATCCTATAGTGTGAAATATTTATTTCTAGTGGGAAATCAATGAAATGTCGTCTAGAAGCATGGTGTAGCACGGGTAGCAGTCTTCACACCGGATACTCGTAGGTGGGCGGATCTGCATGTGGGCGGACCCGCCCGGAGACGGGTAGAGGGGTGGTGTCTTGGTACCTAAGACCATGGGTGTCTTCCGACGGTCTTAGGCGACCCCTATGAAAGGGTCTTTCGATGCCCAAAGGGGTCGCGGCCCACAGGTTGAGAACTGCCGCCTTGTCGGTTCGGCATGAGTCCAAATGGACTCCATGGCAGTGAGGTTGGGCAGGGCGCTCAGGGCCATCACCGCGTTGGTGGGCGCGCTCTGCTCACCGCGAGTGTCCGTACTGGCCCGCACCAACCTGACGCCCCTGCGAGGACTGCGGTTTTGTGGGGGAAGGGCTTGATCTCCCCAACCTGCGGAACCTGCAGCATGCTTCCTGCCTGGGCTGCGCTCGGGTTGGGTGCTGCAGCCAGGCTGTCCGTAGCCCCACCCCCACCCCCGCCCCGCCCCGCATCAGGCCACGCCCCCAGGCCGCCCTGCCGCCGCCGCAGCAGCAATGCCAAGGGCTGCCCTGGAGCAGGTTCCTGCTTGGTGGCATAGTGGTTAAGCGTTTGGCTGGCAGTTGTGAAATAGGTAGTTCTAGACCACCAACCAGCCTTTCTACTCCCTATATAGAGTTACAGTCTCAGAAACCCATGTGTTCTAGACCATGGGTCCCCACGAACCGGGTGGCATTAAGTTTCACATGTTGGGAGAATTAAGAATCCGACAATAGTAGTTAATAGCTAACCTTCAACGCTCTCTCTCTGTCTGGCCCGGCGTGTCAGGCTTTAGGACCACAAAGTCCTTGGATCAGGGTGGAAGGAGCCTCTCTCCTCCCTGTAAGTTGCAACACAACAGAGAGCTTACCGCAGTGGATTGCCAGGCCTTTCTTCCGCAGCTAGCTGGGTGCATTTGAATCCCCACCCTTTGGCTAGGAGCCAATCACAAACGTTTTCCATCTCCCAGGGGACCTCGCCCATCTCTTCAAACTCACTGCCCTGGAGCCTTTGTCAACACTCAAAGCTGCCCTGTAGGACAGGCAGGACCGGCCCCGTGCGTTTCCGGCGACTGTAACTCTCCGTGCATCTCTTCCATGCTCAGAACCGCAAGCCTGTGGGCTCGTGTTGCACGCAGACCGAGCGCCTTTGAGGTCAGCATGGCCGCTGGAGTACCCACTCTTTGCCTTCCTGCTCTCTGATCTCAGCCCCGTTTTCTCCCACCAGAAGCAGGGCGAAAACCCACTGTCCTGCCAACAATTCAAATCCGTGACCACCCCCCCCCCCACCAAAGCTGGTGAGGAGGTAGGTGGCGGGTGTGTCCACGGCCTAAGGACTCCCGAAAGCCATCTGGGAGCATCCATCAAGCCTTGAACGATGGCGGCCAAGAATATCGAAGGTCCCGAGCACTTCCCGAAGAGCACATTGTTCTCAGAAGTCCGGCCAGGATGCTCCTGAGAGGCAAGGATGACCAGGTGTAGTCTGATGTACTTTGGACATGTGACCGGGAGGGACCAGTCCTGCAGAAGGACATCCTCCTTGGGGCAGGTGACATGAGGAAGACCTTGATTGTCACAGTGCCCGGGAATCCTGGGCTACCACCGAGCAACTGTGGGGGATGGTGCAGGACCCCGCAGGGTTTCCTTGGGTGCTCTGCCTGTAAACCCACTCTCCTCACCTAACAGCAACGGTTTCCCTTTGTTTTTGCTTCCTCCCCCTCCCCCCCTCCATCTCCTGGCCCAGAACTATCCAAGTCTTTCTTGCTTAAGGAAACCCTTTTCTTGTTCAGTCATTTTATTGAGGGCTCACACAGCTCTTCGCACCATCCATCCATCCATGGGGTGGAGCACATCTGTACAGACGTTGCCATCATCCTTCTCAAGACATTTGCTTTCTACTCGAGCCCTTGGGATCAAGTGATTTCCCCTCCCCTCCCCCTTTCACGAACCCTTGATAATTTATAAATATTTCTTTTTCTTTTTCTTTTTTTTTGAGCTGGATTGGACTGATATTGGCCATTTTTTTTAGTTTCTACATATTTTATTTAAGTTTACAGTGAACCCTCGTTTATCGCGGTTAATCGGTTCTAGGCCCTACCGTGATAAATGAAATTCCGCGAAGTAGGATTCCTTATTTGTAAATCAAATATTTTCATAGTTAGAGCATAGAGGACATGAAAAAACACCCTTTCGTCACCATTACACTCGTATTACCCAATTTATTAAACGAAAAAGGGAAAATACAGTAAAACATTTTGGACGTTACAATGATCATTTATTATTTATTATATTATTTATGGCATCAAGCTTGTACAGTATGAGCCAATCAGTGGCAGAAATGACAGAGCATGCACTGTTACGCAAAAACCACGATAGAGTGAAGCTGCGGAAGTCGAAGCGTGAAGTGGCGAGGGTTCACTGTATTTAAAAAAAAATCATTTTCTTACGGGCTCATACAACTCATCACAATCCATGCATCCATCCATTGTGTCAAGCACATTCGTACATTTGTTGCCATCATCATTCTCAAAACATTTGCTTTCTACTTGAGCCCTTGCTATCAGCTCCTCATTTTTCCCCTCCCTCCCTTCTGATAATTTAGAAATCATTATTTTTCCATGTCTTACACTGACTGATGTCTCCCTTCACCCACTTTTCTGTTGACGGTTCCCCAGGGGGAGGGAGTTATATGTAGATCCCTGTAATCGGTTCCTTTCTACCCCACCTTCCCTCCACCCTTCTGGTATCGCCACTCTTACCACTGGTCCTGAAGGGATCATCTGTCCTGGATTCCCTATATTTTTTCTTTTATGCTAGCAGTCTCCTACAGTATTTGTCTTTATATGATTGACTAATCACTCAGCACCATGAGCGACTAACTTCACCCCATTATTGTGACGGGTGTGAAGGTATCATCAGTATTCTTTAGCAATGCCATGGTGCACGTGGATCCAAGTTTACTTAGCCGGACCTTCACCGATAGGCATTTAGGTGGTTTCCATCTTTCTGTTATGAACACCCCAAAGCTCCCTGCCAGGGAGCCCGTTCTGACACACAGAACTGCCCCTATATGTTTGCAACACTGTAACTTTTTATGAGAATAGAAAACATCTCATTCCCAAGGAGTAGGCTGGTGGTTTCAAACCGCTGATTTTCCAATTGGCAGTTCAATTCATAACCCCTATGCTACCCCGGCTCCTTCCTCAGTAGTATTATGAGATAAAAATAGGGGTGCACGATTTTCTGTTCACGGGACCTCCTGATTTCTTGGGTGTACAGGAAGCAGAGGGACTGCTGGGTCATATAATATTTCTATTCCTGTGTGCTGGGGGACTCACGCGCCAGACTCCATCCCACAGTGGTTGTGCAGTGTGTGAGGATCCCAATCTCTCCTCATCCTCCCCGGCGACTGTTATTTTCTGTTAGTTTGTTTCTTTAGCTCTTCTCTCAGTGTCAGTGTGAAGTGGTATCACGTCATTGTATTGATCCACATCTCTGAGATGGACCGTGAACCTGACCGTCTCTCTGTGTCTCTGTTGGCCACCTGGACACCATCGTTGGTGAACTGCCTATTCCAAGGACATCAAACCTTCACAGAAGAAATCCATGACCGACTATGTCCTTCCGAACTATGACATAGAAACATTCCCTGCTCCTGTGACCATGGGAATCTGGCATAGATGACTAAGCGATCAGCTATGTACTGTACAGGCGG